TCTCTCTCCTGTTTTTTGTCTCCTACTTTAGTTTTGCTTTTTATTTCTGTACTTTTCTTAATTTAGGATTTAATAATTTATTGATTCTCTTAGGGTATCTTACCTGTCAGGTCTTCCTTCAATTTGTAATTAAATCAGTCTCAGATAGCATAAAATGAAACCTAATTGGCAGTTCGTGTGTCTTTCCTTCAATAAGTATTTCAGGTGTATTTTTTTGTACTTACAGGTGTGTTTTATAACCCTGCAACAATCACAGATCCAACGTCTGCTTCTTGGAATTTTAATCACAGCTTTGATCCATCATTACTGTTTCAATGTCTGGTTTTCCAGCTTATACTGTTTAGGAAATTAGGACAATCGAATAAGCAGTAGTGACAAGCATAAACTTTATTACCAACTAATTGCTTCCTCTTGGTATATAGTGTGGTATTTGTCTTTCTATAAAAGATTATCTTCGGTTGACAACAACGTGACATGGCACCTCGATTGTGTGATGCATACCGCCAATGTCAGGCACAGTTACGGAGCCATGAATTTATATTAGAATACACACTTTAGACTATTTGAAAGAAAATATCATAATGTAGAAAACTGAAGTGATATCATAATAGGAGGGGAGGGGGGAAAAGAATAAGAATGAGGTAAGATTTCTCAATTATTCAACACATCAATTTTATACGTGTCTTGACTATTCTCTCTAGTAATAGGATTGTATTCTAGAAAACAAAAAAAACAAAAAAATGGGGCTCGGCCTATTTCGACCTTATGTGGGCCCGCCAATGGTCCACGGTCCCGATTCTACCACGTGTTACATTTAATTTAATTTATAAATAATTGTTTTCCCAACTTTTAAATTTCACCATCAAAATGCTACCTGCTCATGATCACTTGTAATTTTTTTCTTCAACCTCTATTTCTTGAAATTACCTCAAAGTTTTTCCAGATCATTCTTTTTCACGACTTGATTTGAGATATTTGTATTTTGATGACAAAAGCAACAAGAGGTGTGACCATTTTCTAAGCTCTCGTAATTTCTAATGCTGTGTGTTCTGCTATACCTTAGTGGATTTGATGACAACCTTATAAATAAATAAAAAGAGCATACGTTCTTCTCTTTCGACAGTTGGAATAATAATTTCATTTTTTTTTTTTGGTTGTCGTTGCATTATTAGAAGATGGAGTGTGTAAGAACACTGAAGGAAGACAGACATCATCGATTGCGAGCTGAACCTAGACAAAGTAAAATGTACACTGGTGGGTGGACAATGTACATCAGTGGGCCAACCACCCTCAATTTTCTTTCCCTTTCATCAACTTCTGGCTTTTTTTATTTTTTATTTTTTTGCTCCTTAATAATAGGAATTAATATCAACTAACTCTTAATTTAAATATACTTTTTTTCTTTTTTAAATGTTGAAAGAGATTACAAGTTTAAATTCCCTCCCGTCTATCAAAACAAAGAATAATATCGTTAGTAATTAAAATATTTGGATTCAAAATTGTAAAAATGAATCCATCCAAACCCTCTATTGGTTAAGTCTCTATTTCAAGATCGATTGATAAGAAATCAATGAAGTCCACTATCATTTGATCATCTAACCATGAACAAATTATTTTCAATAAACAATGAAAATTTTGTAATGATAATAAAATGGTTAGATGATTTATGACTTTGATGATATTTTCTCAAGGATGATTATCCTCCAAAGACATCAAGAGCTCTAGAAAATGAGATCCGTGATATATTAGAAATATTTTTGCTCACCACTTTAACTTAAGGTGTATGCTCACCATCCTTCTCAATACTTCACACGTGTCAATAGACATAACCATAGTTAACTTTTTACTTTGATTTATGTAACCATGGTTATGCTTATGAACACACGTCAAGTATTGAGAAGGGCGTTGAGCAAAAATGTTCCTCCTATATATTATAGTTAAATGATCCGAATTGGGTAATTGTTTATCTATTCATTCAAAGATGATTCTTGCAAAAATAGTCAAATGGATAACCAGTTAACTATTTGATTATCATGATGATATTTCAATGTCTATCACAAGCGCTATATATGCATGAACATTTATGATCACAATTTTGGTTAAGATTTTTTTAAAATTTATTATAAGGATGATCCTTGGAGACTTGTAAATTGGGCAACTAGGACCATTGCTTTAAGGGATGAGTAGAGCCTTAAACAGTG